ACATCCCTTCCAAGTGGATGGCAGTGGTAGCTGGGCACCATCTAGTTCTTCTGGTCTCATAGTTGTATAGGTTGCAGATCAGATGGTGTACCAGTCTCTAGGACTGGTTGTTTCCATTAATTTTGGTTTTCTTCTTTCTTCTTGATGAGGAGAGACCCGTTGTTGCATCTACCTTGCCGCTTTTTAAAGTGCACAAATCTTAAGCATACAGTTTAATGAGTTTCAAAAGGCATATACTCCCATATACGTGTTCCAAACCAGACAGAAAACATCGCCAGCAGTTGTAAGATTCTCTTCTGACTCTTCTGCTTCCGCCCCTGTAACCACTGCTCTGATCCCTGTCACCATTGATTAGTTCTGTCTGTTCTAGAATTTTGTGTAAATACACTATCTGCTCTTTAGTATCCTGGTTTTTTTTTTTTTTTTTTTGCTTAACACATTTTTAGGATTCATCTATGCTCTTACATGTATGGGTAGTAGTGTTTTTTCAATTTCTGTGTAGTATTGCAATAATATTTCTGTGTGAGTATATCACAATTTTTTAAAACTTTTGATTATGATTTGGGTGAAATTTTACAAAGCAGATTCACTTTACATCAGTTCATGCACTTTTTTTCTGTGACACTGATCACAATCCCCACAGTGTAACATCTCTCCTCCCACTTCCTTCCTGTGGTCACCCTTTCCCTGTGTCCTTCTTGCCTATGCATTCCTGCCTCCCTACCTTTCTCCCTGTGTAAATGCTGCCCTTCTGATCTCCCATGATTGATTGTTCTAAGAAGTGCATCTCCCTGGTGTAGGTGTTCAGCTCATAGGCCTGTCTATTGTTTGGCTGAGTGCTAAGCCACAGGAATGAGTTCAATTCCAGGCTTGAAGGGTGACTTGGGGCCACAGTCTTAGGGATTCTATCTGTCTCTATCCAACCAATAAACCTGGTCTTTTTTATGTTTTCTTATTTTGTTCCACATTGTTTCTCCCACTCTATAAAGGATCTCCAATTTTGATGTCTTTCCAAGTGCTTGGCATTGGTAGCTGGACACCATCTACTTCTTCTGGTCTCAGGGTCATGTAGGCTGAGATTCTCATGGTCCTTTGGACTACCTTTTCCATGCATCTTTGATTTTCTTCTCTCTTCTTTGCTTCGGATAAAGTTAGACCAATAGCTGCATCTTAGATAGCTGCTCGTGAGCTTTTAAGACCTCAGTCATTATCACCAAAGTTGGATGTAGAACATTGTTTTTGTGCAGTGTATTATGCCAATTGAGTGTGCTGTCCCCTGCAATCATGGTCCCAAGCCCACAGGCCCAGCGATTCATTCTCTCAAGGTACTTAGTTGTGGCTAAGAAGTTAACCTCTTCTTGCCCCCTGATGGCTTTATAGTACATGTGGACATTTTTATAGCACATACAAATACATATGTGGGAATATCATCTGACAAACCTATGTATGATTGTGGCCTGTTTACCTATCCATACCTGATCTTGCCTGTCTACCTGTGTATCAATCCATAGATTAGTGTTTGCTATTACAGATAATGCAGTATTATGTATGCAATAGTATTTACCTTTATTGTTTGTACCTCTTGTGCACAGATCGATGGTTGGATTGATGGGTAGTTAAGAGACAGGTGTTGATTTGGGTGAAGGGAAAGGCAATATGACAAAAGTGTGTGACCGGCATAATATCATTAAGGAAAAGGAAGACATGGAGAGGTGTACCAAGTAGATCACAGTTCATCATTCTGCTGTTTAGTCATTCTGCTGTTGATGACAGTTGGAACAGTCTGAGGCTATTATGAAGAATGCTACTAGGAACATTCTAGTCTGGTACATGTCTCTCTCTCTCTCTCTCTCTCTATATATATATATATCTGTATATACATGTATGTATGTATGTATACATATGTGTCTCTATATCTCTATCTGCCTATCTATCTGTACACACTCATTTCTCTCTGGTTTGCACCCAGCAGTAGAATTGCTGGGTCATAGGGTTTGTGCAAGCTGAACTTGAGATACTGTCAGACAGTTTTCCCAAGTGGTTGCCCAGTATAAACTGCCACCAGCACTTGGATGTGAATGCCAGTTGCTCCACTTTCAGCTTTTGCCCTTTGGTCACTCTCAGCAGTGACTTCTCAGGGTTTCAAGTGTAGAAAACAGCCTCCTTTTTTTTTTTTTTTTTGTGAAACTCCTTCTGAGGACTCTCTGGCTGATGGTGAGTTGGGAGGAGCAGAGGGAGACCAAGCAATGAACCTCCTTATCTCAAAGAGCTCCATGGACTGCCTCCCTGGGCAACTTTGCTCTTGGATTTCTGTTGGGTTCAGCCAATGAGAGGCACCATCAGGAGGTCAGAGGGTGGGAAGAGGAAGAGGAAGAGGCTACAGTGTTTATTTCACTCCCTTCTAGACTGTGATTGGCAATGTAGGTCTCTCTCAAGCAGCCTGTCTTCCACAGCCAAAGTTTTTTCAAGATTCTCTTAGCTGGTCCTCCTCTTGCTCCTTTCAGCCAAGAGAAGAGCTTGGAGCTGCTGTTCATCCCTGGATGGTCTATCATCCATCACTGGGTGGTTCCCTCAACCCTGCAAACACCTCTGAAACATTCCCTTCAGTAGACCCTTGAAATGGGCCATCTGTCTGCCACTGGGGCCCAGATGGATGTGGCGTCCACTGGATTCCCCTGAGACAGAGAGTGGTTCAGGGACTCATGGTCCATTTGGAGGGATTAGATAGGCCTTGGGCAGCTTCTCTTCCTGCCTCTGTATTCCCAGTGAGGATTTCATTCTTATTAGTCTCTTCACCAGAGTGTTTTGGATTCTGTAGCTCTCAGATTTTTGGTTTTCCTACCCACACTAATTCCAGCCAGCACGTTTTGTGACTGGAACGTAGTTTTAGCCAAACTTTAGCTAGGAACTCTCAGATCATCTGTGGGTTCTACCCTCAGTGCTCTGCTGGGCCAGCCACATCAGTCAGTCAAGGAATCAGGGGAACCTGAGCGGCCCATGATATTCGTCTGATTAATTTCTACCTCAGAGGGCAGAGCAGCAAAGAAGAGAAATAGTTACAGTTTGCTTAGGCAGCAAGCAACGCTTGTTACTGAGAGGCTAACAAGCTCTGTACCAAGTGCCCAGGGTGTAGTCACTCTGCCCTAAGGACTCATGGAGGCAGATTTGTTCAATAGAAGGAAAAGTTTCCAAGATTTAATATTATTGGGAAAGAAAATAAGGTTTTGCTGGTATGGAGTGAGCTCCCTGCCTCACCTGAATAACATTACAACTTAGATGGAGGAAGATAGAAACAAGCATCAGGTAGGGGTTGACTCAGGTCAGTCCTGGAAACTGTGACATGGAAAAAGATGCCACTTTTCTATTCAAGCAAGAATCACCCCAAAGGAGTGAACACCTCTTATAAAGGAGATAAGGACTCACCCAAGAGGCAGAACAGCCCAAGTGAATGAGAAATCACCTGAACAAACACATCTGGGGAACTACAGACTCAGACAGGTGTTGAGGGCCACACCGAGTTACCAGCCAATCATAAGGTAGGTGTTGGCAGAAACTGGCCATGATCGAATTTACAGCTCTCAGAACTGTAAAACACTCAAAAAACTAGAGCACCTTGTTTAGTCTCACTTTATAGCTGAGACAATGGAGTTCTAGGAAAGCCAGGAGGCATAGTATAAGGATGAATGAAAGAGTGGGACCTTGGTCTCACTGCTCCGCCTGTACCATGGTGCAGTTTCTCCTGTGGGCCTCAGTTTGCTGATCTGTGAAACGAATTACTTAGGAACACTGACCTTGCGCCAGGCTAATTCCTAAAGAGGGGTGGGAAGCTGTACCACGGTCACCGGTGGATGGAGGCAGACCCACACGGTGTCCCCATACAGTCCAGAGCCTGTCTGATGTCTCTGTCAAGGCTGCCCATGGCAGGCCAGCTGGGGTCCAGGTAGCCACAGAGGAAAGGAGACAGACAGACAGACAGAGCGGAAGGGGAAAGGCCTCCTACTTGCTTGCAAGGCCAGCTCAGCTCCTCTCTCCTCCCCTCTCTGGGGGCACGGAGGAGGCTCTGCCAGCTGGGCGTCGTGGGAAAGAAGCGAAGGCCAGCACCTGTGGGAAAAGCCTTCCCCAGCCACATGTCACAGGCGGCAGGGCAGGCCTTACGGGCCTTATGGGCCTTACGGGCCATGCCAGCTGGCACAGTTGCTAAGGGTTTGGGTGACTTGGGTTTTCCTTCTCCTGTGCCCTAACCTGAGACCTGGTCAGCTTGTTTCTCACCATTCACACCTCTTGTGTCTGTCCCCTGCTCTGGCCCTGTCACCGCTCTGAGCGGCAGCTGCAGCCTCCTCCTGCAGGCCAGCCTCCCACAGTCCCTCCCCCGTTGGATGCTGGGGTTGCCCTCAGCTAGGGGATGTATGCATTCACTCCCTCATTCACATTCATGGCTGTGAGGCCACAGCAGTGAACAAAACACCCCTTCCTCGGCCTTAGTGGGGACTGACGGTGCTCCCGGACACAGGGACTGAGATATTTACACAAATGCTGTTGTTGTTGCTATAGGCTGTTGAGTCGGACCCGACTCATAGCAACCCCTCCTTGGGTTTCCGAGGCAGTGTCACTAAGGAAGTAGATTGCCTAACCTTCCTTCGGAGGAGTGGCTGGTGGTTTGAACCGCCAGCCTTCTGGTTAGCAGTCAAGTGCATTAGGCACTACGCCACCAGAGCTCCTATAATCTGGGGAGGAGGGCAAAATAAGCTGCTCTTGACCAGGGAGAAGAACCCTCACCCATGGCCAACCTGCCACAGGACCTCCATATACATTGGCCCCATTCACCACCATCTTGTGGTTAGCAAGCATGTGCAGAATTTACATTACATTGAGCTCCTTGTTCAGCAGCCCCTGGCTCTGCCCTGAGTGGTCCTTGTTACCACTTGTCTGGATATCTTCAAGGACCTCCTAGCTGGCCTGGCAGCCTCCAGTCTCAGAAGGACACCTGGCTTCAAGCTTGGGCCTGCAACCACCACCTCTGTGCAGCCTTTCCCATCTGGTTCTCTCTCTCTCCCGGGCTTTCTGTCCTGAGACATACTTTGATTTCTACCACTACCAGGCAGCATGGCAGTGTTTATCTGAGTGCTGGCGGCCTACTCTGTGCCTCCCTGAGAGCAGAGTTGGTGTCTTCTGCTTTGTTCTCACCTCAGTGCCTGGCACACAGCTGGGTGTTTGAAGTAAGCATTTGCAGAATTTACATTACATTGAGCTCTTTTGCCAGCAGGGTGTTGCCTTGCACAGTCTGTGGGTTCAAGGCCAGTGGTGTGCAAAATCTGGCCATTCAGCAGCCCCTGGCTCTGCCCTGAGCTCCCTTCTTTCCTGCTTGGTGCCCCCTCCTAAGGAGCTTGTTGTCTCCCTGCCATTGTCATCTTCTTTTTATTATGCTCATCCTTGCCACTGTATACTGAGCATTCATCTTGTGCCTGTGCCTGTGAGGCCCTTCACTGCAGTGGCTGCTTTAGTCCCTACATCCGCCTTCAAGGAACAATCTGGTGGCCACCACGCTCAAGCATGAAGGCTCAACAATAGTGTGTCATGCCACCACTGGTTAGAAACAGAAGTAGGATGGACTGCAAGGGCTGGTGAGTAAAAGGAAGATACTCCAGGAGGTGGTGATTTCTGGGTCCCTCAGTGTCCCCAGGGATGATCATGGGGTAGGTTGGGCCACTCTCTCCTCAAAGTCTGTCTGGGCCAGGGCCATAGTGAGGAGAGCACTCTCCCCAGGATCTATCTGGGCTGGGACCGTGGTAAAGAGAACACGTCCTCAGGGTTTGTCTGCACTGAGTCCATGGTGAGAACCCTCTCCCCAGGGTCTGTCTGCGCTGGGACCATGGTAAAGAGAACACTTCCTCAGGGTTTGTCTGCATTGAGTCCATGGTGAGAACACTCGCCCCAGGGT